TTTCTTTGGCAATCTGGATTGAAAGTGGAAAGGTTCTCTCTCTCTGCTACTTCGTGCTGCAGGCAGTTTGCCCTACGGGCTCACTGATCCACTCACTCAGGAGGACAGAGTTTGTTGCTTTTATGTGTTGTTACCAAATTCTGCATTCTCTAGGCAGTTTTTTTTTTTTTTTAAACAGAGGTGCTGGAGAAGTCTGGAAACTAAAATCTAGGAAAATAAAACATGGAAACTAAACATAGGAACACAAGAACTAAGTTGGTAACACTAGGCTGGTGCCTATCTCCAGCAGTCTATTCTATATGGTGTTGGTCTACCTTTACAGCTAGAATTCAATTAATTTTATTTCTATAGCGCTAATTCCCAACACATGTTGTAGAATGTAAATATCTGGCTGGCTTGCCAAATATGGAAGCAGTTGTTCTGCGTTATGTAGTCCTGTTTCTGACCTTATGCTAACTTAGCAACACAGAGAACGCAGCATGTAGACAGGGTGTCTACATGCTGGAAGTCACGTACGAATCTTGGCAAAAACAGGGTTCTTACTGGCTGAATCGCACGCAATCAGGTCATAAGCTAAGAGATTTCCAGGAAGAGCATCCAGTCGTGCACGTGCATCCACACGGTGCGATGTGGAAACTATAAATGCCGGCTAAAATGGACTGAAGGTTGGGGGAATAACTGAATGTGACGATGCAGTGCTGAATGTATGAAGTGTTTAAGACAGCTGTATGAATTCGGTTTTGTAATTAAATGTTTCCCCCCTCCGGATGATAAAATGGTGTGAATTGTGTCCTTCTTTCTGTCATAAGGGAATTCTACCAATGAGCTTCCATAATGTCGTCTCAAGGCACTTTACAGTTCATCAGATCATCCAGTCGGATTGATTCAAAGTTAAGTTAAAACCAGCTGATTGCATCGACTCATTGACTCTTCAGCAATCCCTCACACTAAGCATGCTTGTAGAGACAGTGGAGAGGAAAAACTCCCTTTGAACAGGAAGAAACCTCCAGCAGAACCAGGCTCAGCGTGAGCGGCCATCTGCTGAGGCCCACTGGGGTTCAAGGAGACAGAAGCAGACATAGAAAAAGCAGCTGTAAAAGGTGGACCCATCCAGGAAACACACAGCCAGGCAGACAAGTTCCGAGAGGATGGAGTCACAGCCGAACAGGAACAGCCTAGATGAAGCTACTATGATAAAAAGCAGAGAGAGCAGAACGTTAGAGATTGAACTAACAGATTCTGCAGAGTGGGAGAATAGAGATAGAATGAAGCAGAATGATGAAAAAGGGGTCCCTATGTCCTCCAGCAGTCTAAGCCTATAGCAGCAGAACTATAGAGATAGCTCAGGATAACCTGAGCCACTCTAACTATAAGCTTTATCAAAAAGGAAAGTTTTAAGCCTAGCCTTAAAAGTAGACAGGGTGTCTGCCTCACGGACTAAAACTGGTAGTTGGTTCCACAGGAGAGGAGCCTGAGAACTAAAAGATCTGCCTCCCATTCTACTTTTAGAAATTCTAGGAACCACTAGTAAACCTGCAGATTGAGAGCGAAGTGCTCTGTTAGGAACATCAGGAACAATCAGATCTCTGATATCAGATGGAGCTTGGCCATTTAAGGCTTTATATGTGAGAAGGAGGATTTTAAATTCTATTCTGGATTTAACAGGAAGCCAATGAAGAGAAGCCAGGATAGGCTCTCTGGGTAGGCCGCTGTCCACCTGGTTTAGGAGTGATAATCAGTTTGTAGTGGTAACTAAAAATGAATCATGTTGTTATAAATCATTTCTGGTCAGATGGAGCAGGATAAAAATAGTGTTTTTGACATCCTTGAGTGGATAACTAACGAATCAATTACACAAATTATGAATACACAATAAAATCATAGAGATAAAGTTACATGACAGGAATAATTAATCCTTCTGAAAGTTTAATTTTCAAAAATATAACAAAGGTGGAGTAATTGCACATTAAAACTAAGAATATATGCGTGAAATTATTTTAAAGGGACAAGGTGTAAAGAAAAAGTTAACTTTCTAGCTTTAGTTTAATTTTAAATCACATTTATGAGCCAAGCGATTAACCCACGTTAGAAAAAAAGAAGCAACATAAGAATAAAGGTTTAAAACCTGATTTATTATAACAAATGTACAAGAGCCGATCCATAAGAAATTGCAGTAAACAAACAAAAAGTAATATAGCAGATAAAACACAATCCATTTACTAGGAACTATCCACAGTGGACAGGGTTTCTTTCCTTCCAGCTTCATCATGAGGTAAAAAGGAAACGGTTAACACTTCAGTCGTTGGCACAGTCTTTTCCCACAAACCTGCTTCTATGCAACATCTTTCGATACATTTCTACACTCAGCCCCCCCCAGCAGCCATACCTTTGCTTTTAGATGAGCTAAATTCTGTCCACCTGAAGGCTAAATATTGTAATGTTAGTGCGCACTGTAGGCGGCACACATTTATCTTATTGGAAGATGCGTTATGGGTAAATAGAGACTTCTCTGTGGAGACCACACTTAGAGTAGTTTACAAAATATTTTACAAATGGGCTTCATCTTCTCAGTCAGTTAATGTTGAGCTGATCCCGTGCGCTTCCAGCAGAAGTGTCCTCCTCCGCACCAAAACCAGCAGTCGGGAGATAAATATTTGTAAAAACATGCCCAAATTTTTCTATAAAAAACCAACAAACAAAACTGTTGTGCCGATGTTACTTCCCTACGGAAAACAAAAACAAAAAAACTAATAGAAACCCATGCAATCCAAAAGAATTGCCCAATATATTTACTTTTAATCGATTACAAAATGCCTCTAAATATATTACAGCAAAAACTACAGATATACACAGACTGGATCCAGAAGAGGTCAGAATAGTCATTGCTTTAAGCCCCCCAAAAACTTCTCTATTTTGCTTCCAAACTTTTTATTACACTTTGTATTGATTGATCATGATATTGATGGTAAAGTCAGACAATCTGACTTTAGTTCAAGGTTATAGAAACAAGAGTTGCTGGAAGATCTGGGGAAGCAGAATGAGGAAAAATTGATACCAAATTGAATTATTTTAGTTAAACATGATGAAAGCATGATTTTTGAACCTACAATGTGGGAGAATGTACAAAAAAAATAAGACACTTTACATTTTCACTCATAATGGTTTAGATATACAAAATAAAATACATGATAATGTAACGAATGGAATACAAAGACACTCGGATCTAAGGAGGGACAATAGTTTAACTTTTTTAGATTTTGCTCCTCATAAACAACTCTTGGTAACGGAGAGTTCACCACCGGTGCGGATGGCGATACACAGAAGTCAAATAATTACACGACGTATACGGCATACAAAAGGCTAGTCTATCGCTCAAATACAAAAGTTGAGAAAGAGGGGAAGGCTGAGAAAAAAACAGGTTGGTCACTTGGATACATTCACGCCTTCGACAGAGACAGGTGGACGACTGAGGCGGGGGAAAAAAGGGGGCGGGAAGGCTTCCAGATACAACAGCACGGTGACCCGGGGTCACCCAAACATTTGTTCAAGGGTTAGCTTATTCAATTAGAGTAAAAAAGGCTTTTAAAAACAGTACCGCACATTTCAAAGACACGAAATCTGAATTTGGAAGCTCATAAAATTGTAGGCAGGGATATTTATATAAATTAAAATAACGTTATAGTTTTTTTGGGTTGTCACCGATGTAAGATACTCTAGACGGCCACAAGATGGCAGACTAGAGCAGCAGAATCAGAGTCCAAAACAATGAAAATTTTAGGTAAACTTGCAATTTTCTTTTTTCTGTGGAAATATTTCAGCGAAAGACTTTTGATTTAAGAGTGACTGCATCAACTTGCTGCTGCCAGCATTTAAACATCAAGTAAAGAAGTGTACTCAAACCCATTTCTGACTGATTAAAAACTTTTTAAAGTCTTTTAACTCGGTTTTGTCATTTTTTTTTAACCACCTGATCAGAAAGCAGAAAAGCACGGAAGCCAAAAACATTTTTCAAATAAAGATCAGGATCTGTAATTCATGTTATAGATCTAAGATGAATACACGCACATTTGGCTGATAAGTTGGGTTACTCATCATTTCTCACCAACAAGAAAAAGTCACTCAGTGACGTCACTTAAAATGTTTACTTAGGAGTTTAGGAGTTTCCTGTAGTAAAGGAGAATTTTTTTATAGGATTCATGAATTGCGGTCGGAGGGGCTAATAGTTTGGACAGCCGTCATAAACGTTTGAGTCAGGGATGGAATGATATTAGAAGCTAGATAACGGACCTCAAGCAAAATAAAACTTGGTTGGCAGATTTTGTACAAGAACATTAATGCAAAAAACAAAACAAAAAAGTTGATGAAAAGATGACTGGAGGAAGGTTTGGCAGTGGAGCTGGAGGATCTGATACGATATGTCGGCGCCCTAACTGTCTGCATCGGACGAATGCACCGAATGGTGAGACTGACTGGAATCAAGCTCCACGTGGAAATAAACAAAAACAGGGAAAGGGAATAATAAAGTTAAGCAATATAAAAATACAATACCACAAAAAAAAAAAACGGTACACCATTTTTTTTTACTTTTTACAATTGTTCGTTACTGCAGACGTAGTCCACCAAGTCTGTGACTCCCAACAGGTCGTCCTCGTCGTCTTCCTGCGCCGCCGCTTCCTGCCCCACCAGTCCGTTCGGGGCGGCGACAACGGCTGCCGTGGAAACAACAGTTTTAAGCGTGTCCGGTTGTGGAATGAGACCCGGAGCGTCGGCGACGGCAGGGCGGCTGCCGGGGCCGTCAGAGTTCTTTGTGGTGCTCTGTCCATTCGCTGATTGAGGCTCTGTTGGGCGGCGGTCTGACGAGTTTGTTCCCTTTGGCTCCTCCTCTTTAGGCTTTTCTGCCTGCTCCTCCTCCTCCTCATCGTCCGAGTCGATGCGGTTTACCCGCTTGCGAACGGGCCGGTCCTCCTCTGAAGAGTCGTCCGAGTCCGAGTCGTCCTCTTCAGACGCTCTCCTGCGTTTTAGAGCCAAGCGTCTGCGTCGCTGCCGGGAATCATCTTCTGAGGAGTCGACTCTTCTCTTCAACTTCGGTTCCTTAGACGATTCTTCGGAATCTCTGGAGAAACTCGCTGGAGGGATGGATAAAAAAAATAAAAATTAAGCCTTAAATAAAAATCTTATATTATTATTATTTTTTTTAGATATATTTACAAGTGTGTTTTAGATCGTCCCTGTAAAGGTTTCCATTGCAATAATATGCCAAAAAGTGTTATATTTACTCACATTATGAATTTCTAAGAAGAAAAGTGATTATTTTTGTACAAGTTTATGAAGATTAAAACACAAATTGAAACGGAAAATACATTTTTTAAATATAAAAAAATATATATTCATAAATCTCAGAGTGGTAGGAAGAAATAATGCCTTCATCATAACAGAAGAAGATTTCTGATTTGACAGACATTGACAAGAACCATGAGCCTAGAAAGGTCCTGGTGAAATAAAGTGGCAGTTTAAATGATCCAACTTTAAAAATTCATAAAAATGTCCTTTGAAGGAAAATCTGTGGTTGGAAAAAGAGCAGTTTAGTTTCCTCTGCTAAACGACTGACCAGTTCACAAAGGATGAGCTTTGACCAAGCGTTAACTATATTTAATGTGTCTTTTTTTACGCCTCTAAAAAGTATTAAAAATGTTTTATTATTAAACACACAGCATTATTTTAACCCATCTGAGATGGGGTTTTTTCCTGCCATACAGTGTGACTTAAATTTCTATTCTTTTCATATCTTGCGTTTTACATCTACCGATAAAAGTATTTATAGTCTTTACTTTCCTAAAACATCTTATTTTTTCTTTTACTAAAGGTCCTGTTAAAGAAAACCTTTTTCTCCATTTCTCCATTTACGTAACAAATGCGATCTCCAAGCCCCTGACAACCAGAAAGCTTAAGATTATGCAGTTTCACCGCCACACCACTAGTGGGCAGCAAGCTCAAAACTTAAATACTAACCAACATATACATAATATAAGAGTAGACCCCGTATCGATCGCTTTCACCTATGAGGACTAAAGGGATTTGGTGGCGCCATCTTGGGGAGGTCGACAGCGCCGCTCAGTGTGTTGAGGAGGAACAGAATGATTTTTAATCAACTTTTAGTTTCTGAATATTGAACAAAATTTTTGTTTTTTGCTGTAAACAAACAAATGACTCACTGTAATTAAGAGTAATGGAGTAGCCTCCCCCCCCCTTTACAGCAGTTTGTTCAGTTGTGGTTGTTTTTAAGTGCGTAACAAATAAAATTGGATATTTGTCTTTTCTACTCTGTCATTTATTCTATTATTTTTATGTGCCTTTAAATGTCCATTGTGGGACAACAAAGGGAGTTTCTATTCTATGTGGTGTATATATGCCGTTTATTTGAACAAAATTGCACCCCACATATCACTTTACTTGGATTTATCACTTTACTTGGATTTATCACTTTACTTGGATTTTCACTTTATTTGGATTTAGTTTTTACATATGCATAGATATACCTACAGATATATATACAGAAGAGCTATATGTGTATATATTTTTATCTCTTTTTATTCTTATTTTATATCTTTATTATATTGTATAGTTGGATGTGTGTATATATTGTATAAAACTGTAACTGGAGCGTGTAACAAAAGTAATTTCCCTCTGGGATTATTAAAGTATTTCTCATTCTGATTTAATGTCTTCCAAAGCTCTGATGCTTCACTAAGTTATCCCTACAGCCCTGATGTAAACAGTGTTTTGATTTAAATAAAAATACGCTGCACAGTGCTGAGGCATCCCTCTTCTGTTCTGCCTAAAGCAGCAGGTTTGGGTAGCAGGTTGACCTCCCCAAGATGGCGCCTGTAATTCCTGCGCTGCGACAGTCAGTATAGGGTCACTCTTATTTTATGTCTATGCTTACAAATACAAATAGCCTAAACCTTCACCACAGAAATGATGTAATGTAAACCAGAAAATAATACTTATATCTCAGCGTGAAATTAATTAGATAATATGGGATCTTTTGATCTCTGAAAGATGACTCGGCAAATAAAGGGAGACTGTATAAAATGTTAACGCAAGGAGAACAATATGGTATTGTAAATAAGTCACAGTAAAACTGATGACAATTCTGATAAGCTTATATAATACCATTTACACCCTTAACCATAGAATTTACCACTACTGAATATGATGACCTATTATCACCATAGCTGAGCTGCAACAACTCCCTCTTCATCGAGGCAGAATTAGTTATAGAAGTCATTTTAGGATTAATAATTCCTCCTCTGAATCCTGCTAAGAAAACCCAAACAATTATCCCTCAGTTTAAAAGTTTCTTCTGCAGCAATATAAATATAGAAGATCACGAGTTGCTTCCTGTTCCTGACTGACCGTCGCTGTCCGAGCTCTGCCGGAACCGTCTGGGCTTCATTTTGGCCCGGTTACTTTCAGCCTGAGAACCTTCGGACTCCGACGTCTCGCGGTAGTTTACTTCCTTCTTGTGGCTCCGCCGAGACCGCCGCCGACTCATGTCCAGATCGCTGTCGCTGTAATCGCTCGAACGCTCCGTCTCTGCAGGGGAAATTAAGACTTCACAGTTATATAAAATAAATGGAAAACAAGATTTTATGGATTAGGGTCACCAAATTCTGACAATAATCCAAGAATAGTAAAAAAAAAAAAAGTTATTTGAAGCCTACCTATTTCCTCTTCCACTTCATCATCCGTCTCGTCCTCTTCATCATCAGAGTACCATTTCGGTCTCCTCCTCTTTCTTGAGCTCTGCCTGCGCTTCTGTGGCCTTCTGCTAAATGCCGAAGCGTGGCGCCTACCGCCGCGGTTGCTGCCGAAGTCACTGCCATTCGAGTCTGCATCAGTTTCTGGCTCCGTCTCGTTGTCGGAAACGACAAACTCTTCCTCAGAGCTGAACCCAAACAGGAAGAGTTCAGGCAAGGCGGGAGAACGAAGACGATGGCTCAGAAGACGGGAACTAAAGTTTAAAAACAAACCTTTCACTGAGACAAAACTCCTCCTCGCTCTCCTCTTCGTCCACAGTAGTGTCGCTGTCCAGGTCGTTGAGTCGCCGGCGTTTCTTCCGGCGCTGAGCGGCGTTGGCTCGCGGTGGACGGCCGTTCTCTTTACCTTCCTCTGCTTGGAGGATGGTTGAGATGTCCTTGCCCCTGTGGCCCGTGATGTTTGCCATGTCCTTACCTCGACCAGCTCCTACAGATAAAAACCACTAAGCTTATGTTCCGTCTTTTATACNTTTTTGGTATAATTATTGATAATGGTACGACACAATTTAGTTGACTCTTTCATTTCCACTTTAATTTTTCTTCTAAAGGATAGAAAATTTCCTCAAATATTTAATTTTATGGGAAAGAAATGGTTTTAAATCTTTGAATACAGCTGGCGGTGACCAGAGCTTTAATTTGGTAAAGGCTTGTTTCACAGAGAATTGACTGAAGGTGATAAATTCAGAACATACACCGCTTTGTATTGCGCATGCATCTAAAAAATAAAAAAAACATGAAAAAGGTACTACAATAGTCCTCTTCTTTCCCTAATAATATAAAAATGAACCACTTTCCCCGTTTCCACATTGGCTAGAACATCCTTCCTACCTCCACCTTCTGCTTCTTTGATGTCTTCCTCAATGGCTTCCTCGATCGCTTCGTCAAACTCATCGAATCTGCAAAAAAAAAAAAAAGACAAATGTTTCCAATTAATCTAATGTAAACTCACTCCACAGCTAAGCAATTAAAACACTGACTATACACTGTAACGGTGATCGGTCAATAGATGTGAAAGCGATCTTTTCCACCAATCTGATCTACCTCTGAAAAGGTCTGAAAACCACTCAGTCGATGCCTTAAAGCAGCTAATTCGATGTTTTATTGTTTCACAGCAAATGTATAACTGTTTTTTTTTTAGGAAGATGAAAATATCTCGTGATCTTATAACAGCTAACCCCGAAATCCCACATCCTCCGTAACCTCCCCACCCCGCAGCGCTCCAGACCGCCTGCGCACAACAAAGCCTTACATATTAACCAATATTAACCAAACTTTAAACAGCGTTTCCATCAGCTGGACACTATT